GATGTTCAACAGTTATTCTCAGTTTACAGTTGAGGGTTTATTATTTGAATAAAATATAAGTATCAATGTATCAGCAGAAACTGATTCAATTTATTTGCTGCATTTTCCTACATTAGAATCTACGCCTGTTAATTATCTATTTTAGTTGTCTTTATATATTTTCTTGACTCTTCTTGTTGTGATGAAGTACTTATTTTTCTTGCTGGGTATCTTGTATATCTTGTATATTTTATACATATTTCCTGAAACACTAGATATCTAGCCCACATTGACGTATGTTTTGAAAATATTTGGCATAACTTTGAGCTAAGAGCAGTCAGGCTGCATAAGAAGAAGAACAAGCATTACATGCTCCACCTTAACAGATGCCTGTGCTGTTGAGGGAACTTCAGGTGCTGGATCTGACCAACCGGAAGAAGTGCACTGTGTGGTCCTGTGAGAAGAACCTGCTGTCTGCACTGTGCTCTTTCACTCACTCTTCCACTCAGGCTGGGATAATTGACAAGGTGACTAGAAAGGTGGATAACTCAGGCCTGAAGATTCAATGGTGTTATCAGCACTGATGTCTGTGTCAGCCCCTTCTGCTTCATCTTCTAAAGTGCTGTTGATTCATTCAATGAAAATTAGGACACACACAAAAGAAAACCTGATCTTCAAAATATTGTAGTTTGGAAGTTTTGAGTTATCCCTTTGCTCTGGATGAAAAGATTCAGTCATGTTGATCCACTAAACCTTGACTGTAATGAACAAAAATCAGGGTGTAACACCAAGACAGATGGAAGAGTGCCTGCTATTGGGATTTACCACAAGAGCAGCAGCTAAATTTTTCTCATCAATAGTGTGTACAAATGGATTCACTCATAATGGAAAGCATTTTATTTTTCTGACTCTGAAGAGTTGAATCTGCATCCTAGTGGTACAAATACAGAAATAAATCCCAAATACTTCAGTTATTTCATCTAGAAGTCCTATCTATGAAAATCTCAGCATCCAGGTCCTGGTGACCATTTAGCCCCAGTCTTGAACTGGAGCAACAGCACATCAGGTTCACTGCATCTCTGAACTTACTGCTCCTGGCAGAAGTAAGTGTTGTTTAGTACCATGGACTTCCTGTCATCCAGAGCACATGCTCTGGTGAAAGTCTGGATATGACTCACCCTCCTCTGCTGTCTGAGATACCTCAGCTTTCAATTTTTTATCACTGAGGAGGCTACCTCTGTTCTTCTGCAGCTTTATTTGGGTATATATGGCAGTTAAAATTGTATGTATATACTTTGCAAAACTTGATGTGATTTCTGTATCCATATATATTGGCCCCAATCATGCTAATTAACATATCCACATTTTTTTTTCAAAATGTGTCTGAGTCTATCTCATTTGCATAGCTGCTTTTAAGGAAAAAATCACTCTCTATTATGTATTTATATTGCACCCTTATAAAGGCAGGGTGTTAACCATTCTGAATCTCCACATGTTGGAATATAAATTTCTTTTGCCCTAAAATTTCTATTTAAATCTTTATTCAGATTTTCTGTCCAGGTTTATGTTCCTCCAGGTTTTTGAATGAACATATAGATTGTCGTTTATTTCCAGATTTAAATTATATAATTGTGTCACACTATTTCTCTTTCTTTGCTTTTCTGACTAGAACACATTTTTATTAGTGGATTCATAAAATTCCATATTACCATTTCTTTTTGAGTATTTTGAACTAATGTCTTGTCATGAGCTAGATGATTCCAATCATGAAATTTAAATATTTTTTGTGGGAAATTTTTATTTCTAGAATTTTTTGTTTTTAATATTTTAATGTATTAAATCATTCATTGACGAATAATCACATCTAATTCTGGATGCAGTGACATTCTATATGTTTTGCAAAATAGAATATTGAAATGGAGCAAATTAAAAACTATCATTCACTATTCTTACCAGTTTTGGGTGTAAAACACTTAAAATCTACTTTTTTCAGCACATGAGCAATATGCAATGCTTTACTATTTGAGTCACCATAAAAATAAAACAAAATACAAACATTCTCATTTGAAGGAATAATCAACTGTGTCACAAAAACAAATAAATACAAAATGGCTCAAGTGTGACGTGGCCTTGGAATTAATTATTTGTTGCATTTACTTAAACTTCCTTGAAAGACAGGTGAGGATCCCGACAGGAGAGGTGTGAGAGTAGATGCTAGGAGAAGAGTTAAACAGCAGAGTTGGTGAAGGATGTGACTAAAGAAGGGGCAGAGGCACTGTCTCAGGTCAGGAGGAAGAGCGTGCTTGTGAGCAATTATGCTGACAGCTTCCCTTGTTCATGTGGAAACTCCATCTGTCTTCATATTCCTCAGATCCACTCTACACAGATCAGTGGGCAAAATGTAGAGAGCTAAACAAAGCGTTTAGAAGACAAGATGAGAACATCTTGCATACGGATTATGTAAACAAGACATGAAATTCTCAGATATAAATGAAAATATTGGTAATTTATTTTATATAAAAATAAACTATGTAAAATATAGGTCAGAAACTAGCATATCATATAAAACACTAGAAAAAATTCCTTCATATGTATTAAAATAATCTTATGCATGAATGAAATCAGGTATTTGATGCTAAAAGCGCAAGAGACTTCATAGGCTCTTCACAAAGGAGAAAGTGTAAATGATGGGTAGATCAAAGACAAGCTTGTCAATCCAAATAGAAATCACAAGAATACATACTAAAGTCATTTTTAGCAGAAGTACATATTAAATTGATTTGTAAATATTCAAAATCCAAAGCCCTAAATTTTTTTTAAATCTGAAGCTTCTCTGTTGGAGGGACTCTACAGTGGTATAGCTATTATGAAATATAAATTCTAGTGTATTTTAAAGTTTGCATCCTTTTCAGTTCATAAATTCTACCCTTGGGAATAGGCCCTAATTTTTCCATTTAAGATTAAGGACACAGGTACAGAATCATTCTCAAGAGCAGTAACCTGGAAACAGCATATATATATAAGAAAGAGTGAACGGGTGTGTCAGGTCTAGAATATGCATCCAGTGGAATGCCATATACTATGGAAAATGTACAATTTCTATACAAGATAATGTGATAGGTATTACAAATATAATATTTAGCTAAAGAAGTAAATGCCAAAACATTTTTAAAACATTTTCTGTTACCTTGCTTTTATTTTTTTCTTTAGTTTTTATTAGTGCATGTTTGCAGTACATAGTGATCACATTCATCATTTTTGCCTGTACATAACCATCTTAATTCTTTTTAGATCCCTTTTATCTCCCCTTCCTCCATCCAATCATTCTTCCCCTTGCCATTTATGAAATCTCTAGCTCCATATTGGTTACCGGTACTTCTATTTTCTTTAAATACCTTTTTCCTTCCTTCTCTCCCCCAAACCAATTTCTTACTAATATCTATTCTTCAGCAAAGGTAAAGACCTCAAGTACAAGGCAAGTCCAGTTTAAAAGCTCAAAATAGGAAAAAAATTAACTATGCTGTAATGTACACATACATAGTAAAATTAATTTAAAAAGACAGAGGAGACAAGTCTCCAGTGGCTCTCACGGTGCCTTTCCATCCATTAGGCCTGGATGGGGGTGGCCATGTTCTCTGGGACTGGGCAACACCCCACAGAGCCCTGTGTGCTTCTGGTCTCTAGAGGATGGGGTGCAGGAACGATCAGCACTGCCTTGCAGTGGGGTACACAGGTCCTGTGCTGTGCTGCAGCTCCCTGTGATTGAGGGGGAAAAGAGAAGGGGACGGTGTCTGGGTTTGAGGGGCTGATAACTGGTGCTGCAGGTGAGAAAATGTAGTATCTTTTCCTCACCCAGACATCTTCATGAAAAAGAGAGGGGTCAACAAAAGCATAAAAAATTCAACAATCTAGTTTTTGTGGCACTGGAGTCTTCAGAAATAAAACTCCAAAGATCCAGGGAAAAATGTGTTTTCATGATGGTCACACAGGACTCTGATTGGAAGATACTGGGGTGTGATCTCATGGTAATAACTTCAGGAGGGGAACTGGGCAAGGCTGGGTCCTTCCTGGCCTGTTTGTGACATTTCTTCCCTTTGGTTGCAGGGCAGGACCCTTCTAGAATGAGGGTCTTAGGACCTCCTTTCAGAGGGAGAGTAGAGAAATCTTCCATGGCAGCTCTCAGGGAGGAAGGAGGAAGAAGGTAAGGGAGTGCCATTTCCCCTTTCTGCTTCTGCAGTTTTCTCAATTTCTTTCAGCTTAAAATATTCAGGAAAATTATTCAGTACACCAAGGTCCCATATTCTGGGGTGTCATATTCTGAGCCCTAAGAATTGGATTTAAAAACTTTCACATTCATGTACTTAGTCATAATAGACTAAACTAGTTGAAGCAGTTAAATGACATAATCAACTCTGTCAAAAAGTGTCCTTATCTGTGAGTGTCTACACAGCCATAGGAATCCAACTATCACTGGATGGGCCTGTGACAGGACAGAGACTTGTGATGTGGGAAGGGGACTGGGAATGGTGGTAGATGGGGGGGAATAGAACTAAAAGTTATGAAGATGGGATGTGTATAGAAACTGAATCCTAATGGAGAATATATACCTAATAAAATAAATACAAAGAGAGAAGATGGGGTCCTCAAGTCACCCTGCCCACAGAAGAGCTTCCTGTCACAGAAAAGCATTTCCAGATGACAAAAAGAGTCACTGTCAGATGTGTTAGGTGGAACCAAATAAGCCCACACTGAGAAGGCAGTGTGAGTGCACACAGAGTGAGCTACAGCCCGGCCTGGGGTTCTTATGTGTTCTTGGGTCCTTTGGGGTCTTAGGATGTATTTTCTTGTGTCTGTCACTATACCTATTAGTGGGGTCATTCAGAATGGAAACCATTTGCATGTGTTTGAAGTTTGTACATAGTTTGTATAAAATTCTGTATCCAGGGGTAGAATTCTCTGGAATTTGGGAACCTGTAGTGTTAGAGGAGAAGCGAAGCACCAGTTTATAAGCTTATTGTATCTTAAAGACCTGGGTATTTTTTTCTTTTTGAGTGGTGAATATCCTGGGAGGGGAAAATAGGCATGGTTAATCCTGGGTAAATTTGTTTCTTGAAGCTGCCATTTTCTTAAAGTGCAATTGTAACATTATCATTGTTTCTGTCTCTTTTATTCCTATGTGTGTCTTCTATTCCACCTTGCAGCTGTTAGGATTGTGCCAAAAGAGTCAAGAAATAATGACAGGACTGCAATACTGAAAGTGAATTCTCAGACCTGAAGATACTTTGTTTTGCATTTTTCTCCTTTCATTGCATGTACTCTTCCTTTTCTCCTTTTACACAGAATCAAACCTATGTGGCCTCTGTATTACAGCCTTTCCCACATCCTCACAGGGCTTCAGCACAAATTCTCCTCAAATTCTCTCCTGAGTCACTGATTTCTCCCCCAGCACCAGACCATTCACACCAAACCCAAACAAGCATGGCATCGTGTACAGGAGAAAGTGTAGATTAACTCCATGTCCCTTGCCTATATAACTTGGTCTCTCCTGTTACTCAGAGAAAACTTCCATTTCTTCTATTCACATGGCATCCTGCAATGGCCTTTTTAACAGTTGAAACTTCCAACTGTTGTACCAAAGCACTCAAGGCCCTCTCTGTTCTGCTCCCTGAAGGTTTTCAGATTCATCTTCTCCACTCTTTATTTCTGTTAGATAAGTGACTCTGTTCCTCCTTGTGGACACACCATCTCTGTTCCACTACATGGGCACTGGCTGTATTTCCTGCCTGGATGGCTCCATCTCTGTTCTCCCTGTGCCCTATTTTGCTCAAATGCAGTCCCCTGGGGACCTTCCTGAACAACACAGCTAGGCAGCCCTCCACCTATCTCCACCTTCCCACATCATCATTGCATTTCCTATGTACACTACATGGGTTGTATCTTTAACCTTTTATTGAAGTATAAGTTCAAAATATTAAACATACAGAAATTTGAACCCGGTTAATTATGTCAAGCTGAACTCTGGCTGGTAAATCAGTGCATGGAAAGAAAGAGAAAAGTACCAGAACCCAGAAGCCTGTGCACACACCCATCCAGTGATGTGTTCCAAGATCATAGATTAGTTTTACTGGATCTACACTTCATATAAATGTACTTTTTGAGCAGGGCATAGTGGTTATAGGATTAATCTATGTGGCTGCAAGTAGAATTAGAACATCTAGTTTTATGGTATTGTGACAAAGTAGAACAGCTCATTGCTCTAGTCAAGTTTTATAGCTCTGTGTCACAGCTAAATGCCCAAGCTCTGAGGCACAGCTGAATGTTACAGTTCAGTGTTACAGCTCTGGGTGGCAGCTATCTCAATTTGAGAATTTAAGAATATGAAGGTCACTGGTGGAGAAAATCCTTTTCCTTGTGCCCGCTTTGGAGTTCATACTGCAAAGACTGAGAACTTCACCAGAAATGGGAGCATCCTTATATAGGGATCTGCTGGGTAGGTGAGCAGGCACTGAAGCAGGTGGGCTGAGTTACAGAACATTCCTGAAACACATACTGGTTGATCATGCTCAAAGAAGCAGAGGGGTGGTGTTAAGGAAATATTCCTGGAAGGCACCAGCTAACAGAACATTCTTGAAAGGTCATGCACTTCAAATACTTGCAAAACAGTTTGATACATTGGGCAGGAGCACTGCCGCACAAACTTACATTTCTGGAAAAAAACATTTTGTGGAAAAAAACATGGAGGCAAAGCAGAGGCAAGAGAAAGGGCTGTCTTATTGTGTACTATTGCTCTATCACTATGATTATGTCACGATGTATTTATCCATTTCAACATCAGTGCACCAGTGGGCTTCTGGAAGCCCATACAGTGTACCTATTGCTGTTGTCTCTTGGTGGACATTATGGATATATCAGGAGGTGGCCCAACATGGATGTGCTGGGCACAAGATGTGGATATGCTAAGCTTTGTCACTTCTACCACAGAGAACATTGTAGGGATATAAAATTTATTTAATTTGCTTTTTGTCTTTTTGCACAGTCTTTCCTCCACTGGACTGTGAATTTCTTTAGGGTAGGGGCTTTTATTGATCACTGAATGAATGAGAAAGTTACGTCTATATGATAGAAGGTTTTACTGGTAAAATTTCTAGTAATCTTGGCATCTACTGCACACAAGAACCCTGAAGTCTGTACTTGAGGTCCACTGTCCTTACCTGCAAAACAGAACTCGATGAGCCTCATTTGTGCTAAGAGGGTTAGAGGTCAAGGAAGCTGACAGGGCATATCCTTGATTAATTTTATAGAAAGATTGATCCATGTGGTGTTGGCCATGCCATGATGAAGTTTCTATAATGGTGTTTCCACATAGCTCCTGAAAATTTCATTGAAGCTGCCACTTCCATCCTTTAGGAATTCCTTACATAACCATGGCAGGGGTTGTACATGATTGTTATCTGCTTTCTGTCCTCAAGTCCATGGTGACTGGGAATATGGAGATAAACATGAGCTAACCTGTATTACTGTGATGGTTCACAGTTCACCTTGAGGATAATTTAACACCTCTAAAAAGTGTTTCCATATCTTCCCAAACCAAAGAGTTGTTTGTTTCACCAGAGCTTGGCGAAGCTCCTCAGAGTATGTTCTGAAGACCTCTGCTCTGGGTGCTGTTTTTTGTTTTTCATCCATTGGTTGTAACTTATCACACACAGAGTCTTCACTGTGTGTCATTGGAAAGAAACAGAATTTAAGTACTGATGTTTTACTGAAATGAGGACAATGTTTGACCTCAATGAGGACGATCAGCATTTGAGCAAACTGTGTTCAGTGAAGCTTCCAAGCCCCAGGTGATGAGGCACAAAACAACTCACCAACTGTGCTGAGATGCTCAGGGAAGATAACCTTCTACATCTCTTTATATGGTGAGATAGGTTTAGACACCAGTACCATTAGTCCTGTCTTCCCTCTTGCTACCCTTGATATTGTCCATGATATTTTAAGTTTTGAGTGACTTCTTATACCTACAAGAGGATAAAGTCCTGGGAAACATTTTCTCATTTGTGTTGTGGAAGCCACTGGATATTTATTTTGACTACATGTGAACAGGTTAGGAAAAGGGAAGATATCAGAAAGAAAGGAAGAGATGAGAGAAGAGGGGTTAAGAAGGAAGATTTTGTCAATGTTTGCTTTCCTGTCCACCCAAACCATTCCTTCTGGTTCTTTCTAAAGTGTGACATCACCACCCTAACTCAGTATCTCCATCCCTATGCCCATAAGACTGAGCCAACCCTCAGAAGGCTTCTCCAGACACTCACTGGAAAGACCTGATGCTCCCCAGCACCCTCCTTAGTGCCCCAGCCACATCCCTGTTTCTCAGACTGTAGATGAGGGGGTTCAGCATGGGTGTGAGTATGGTGTAGAACACAGAGAAGACTTTGTCTTGGGCTGGTGTGTGGTAAGAGAGTGGCAGCATGTAAGTGTACATGGTGGCCAGGTAGCACAGGGTCACAACAAGCATGTGGAATGAGCAGGTGGCAAAGGCCCTCTTTCTGCCCTCCACTAAGCTCATGTGGTAGACTGTGGTCAGGAAGCAGGCATAGGAAGTGATCACCACAGAGAACAAGAGTGGCATCAGCATAGAGCACACATACATCACTGTCTCATACAGGACTGTGTCTGCACATCCCAGGCTCAGCACTGTGGGAACCTCACAGAAGAAGTGGTGAATCTCCCAGGAGCCAAAGAAGGGGAAGCTCATGGTGATGGGCGTGAGGAGGAAGCCATCCAGAGAGCCCCCAAACCAGGAGCCTGCTATGATCATCCAGCACACTCAGCAGCTCAGGAGCACCAGGTACCGCAGGGTGTGACAGATGGCCACATAGTGGTCATAGACCATGAGCCCCAGCAGGAAGAACTTGGCCCCCACCAGGATGAGGTAGAGGAAGTGCAGAGCTGTGCACCCCACAGAAGAAATGGTTCTCTGGCCCAGCATCTTGGGAACGATGGTTGAGATGTACATCATGTCAATCAAGAAAAGGTGGCTGAGCAGGAAGTACATGGGTGTGTGGAGGTGCGAGTCAGTGTAGATCAGAAAGATCATCATCCATTTGGCCAGCAGTATGGTGAGGAAAATGGCAGAGATGGTGGCAAACAGGAGATGTGAAGTTTCCTCTCTGGTGTACAGCCCCAGAATTGTGAAGTCATTGTGGCCAGCATAACCACTATCTTTATAACACTGTTGCTTCTGGTGACGTCTATGTTGTCACTCAGTCACTAGTGTGAGTTGTCTCGGACTTAGGCCCAAAGGCCTTGGCTGCATCCTGAGCAAACACTTCCTGTCAGGCCATCCAGATTGTGTGGGATGAAATGAATTGGGAAATACAAACTATTCTTGTAAATTAAAACTGAAAGAATCATCCAATAAAGATGAAATTACCATGCAAAATGATTTATGTTTATTTTAAAGAAAAAGTTTAATTTTAGGGTGATGAGGAATTATCATTTACATTATGATTAGCATAATTATTAGCAATCAGTATTGGCCTTTAGGATTTAGAGGAAATAGTGCAGGGATATACATATTGAGCTATTTTCCACCTATTATTTTTGGGAATTGGATATTTTTCATAGTAGTTATTAAGAGAAACTCAAATGACTGTGTTTCATATAATTTTAGGCTATGATAAAGAATAAAAATGCAAACTTTATATGAGAATAAAGGATGATATTTCATATTTTAAGGCTAAATATGTAAAAGGTATTTTACCAAATTGTGGGCTAAATTGACTACGCTAATCTGATACACCTCTAAATATTCTAAAGTTGTGAGCACCTGAGTCAATTGCACAGAAAAAATAATACTATTGAACACAGTGGTGAAGGCACTGTGAAGCCATAGGTGTGCTAAGTGGTTTGTATCTGTTGACTTTTGGATCCCACTCAGGATAAACTCAGGAAGCAGGGAGCTAAGAAATCCTTCTTTGGTGCAGAAATTGGCTGGTCGTGTTGGAGTCAGGCTGTTAGTGGGACAGTGTCTGGACCAGCAGTGTCAGCTCATCCTGTGTTCTACACACACAGAGAACAACAGCTACACTTCGACTGCATCCACCACATAACATGTGCGAACCCTGTGAATCTCTGAAAACTGTACCTGGGTATAATCATTAATTCAATAAGTGAAAAATGTTCATAATTGAGAACTCACACAACTTATTATAATCTGCATTGCTGTTTTTAAGAGTGTAAATAATGTTTACTTTTTTATTTCATTCTGCCTATTTCAGAATCTTTGGTGTCACATTTCATAAAGTTTCCTAATACTATGTGTAATTTCATCTCATTTAGAATCTGTATCTCCTGCTTTATGACTATTACTATTTGCAAAGTTGAGGATCAAACTGAAGACCTTGTGTCTGCTATGCATGTAGTCTAGTAAACCATGCCTTAAAAGGAAAACTACTGTGCAGTGTGAGGAATGGCCTATGTATCAGTTCTTGGACACTGTCTGCACTTCAGGTTTAACTTGTATCCTGTCCTAAGTCCTCAATAACAAGGAGAATGGACGTGTGCTGTTGCATTGTTAAATATATTTCTAGGCTCTCTGTCCATACTCACACATAACAGTTTTTACAATTTAAAAAAATTTATGTGAAAGTAAGAGAAAATTTCATAACAATATTATAAGAGAACAGTAGTTGATATACTGTGCATCATTATTTTCAAAGCAGTTACTCAAATTACAAGACAGACCTAAAAGATTCCTTCTCACAAAATGGAAACATTGAGATAATAGCACAAAAGTTTCTTTTCAATGAACAAACAGAATCTAGTAGAGTAAATGAAACAAATTAGCATATACATTAAAATACCTTTGAGTCAGTTAAATAGCTAATTTAGAGGATTATTTGAAGTTCCTACTTGCTATGTATCTATCTTCTATTTTGCTCCTTATTTGTCTCTATATATTTTATTATCTCAGGCTGTCTGTCTTCTCCTCCAGCTAGTGAATGGATGGCTACTTCTGTTTTGCAGGTTACCAACTTTGTCTTTTTGCTCATAAAAGGTCTAATTTATCAGACAGGAAGCCCTCCACAATGTGAACTCCAATTCTAAATGAAATATCTGGTGGTGTTATCTGCTCTCACTATGAGGAGAAGAACGAGATGGACCTATACATGTTGCTGGGCACAGATTGTCACTGTCCTATGATGTGGTATGAAATAAATGCTAAAGAAGCATCCACACTGAATCTGTGCCTCCACACAGGACATTTTTCCTGGATGACCTGAGCTCCTCTCCTGTTCACCACATGACCTAATTCTGTGACCCTGGAGTGTCCTCCCATTCCCTGAGCCTCATATCTGTATAGTAGGTTGAGCTAATAAAGCATACAGGGCTGCTTTAAGGATTAAATAAGAAATTTAGATTTATTGGTGAAAATATTTTATAGAGTGTAAACCAGAATGCCAGTGATATACACATAATGCAATTTTTCACCACTATTGATAAGTGTGGGAGAATTACCAATCCCTCTTTTAAACAACCCAGATACTCAACTAAAATCTGAATTTGAGTGGAAATACCACTTGATCTTCTGGTCTGTTAAGCCAGGGAATCTGAGCACATTTCAGTACTTAGAGTCTGTTCCATTTTGCTCAAACATCCCTTGACTTGAAGGAAATGGTACTAGTAAAAATTTTCAGGAAAAAACATAGCTCAAGTATAACTAAGCCTGAAAGAATTCTCCATGACTTCATAGGGCATTGATATATTTGGCCTGCTAATTATACCCAAGAAACAAAAGTTACTGGATAACATGGGAAAACTATTGAATAAAATAGTCTTTCACTAGGTTACTGTTTATTACATAACATCACACACTAAGAGAAGGCCTTGTATTCATTTCATGCTGACATTTGCAAGTATCCTCTCCTGGGCTTACGGGGGTGCATGTTTGGTTGAGCACCCATGGTTACCAAATTCTGTCTCCCTCATGGCAGCAGTTTGAAGGCAGGATGGAATCCCGGAGCAGGTCTATGATGATCAAGATACCCACCACTCATATTGAGTGAGAGTCAACTCTGTTTACAATGGGCCGCTGCTAGGTTACCACTGGTGAGGCTTCTGCCAAGCTAAAGAGCAGGACCCATGTTCCTGCATCACTGAGTCCTACTGCTGGGAACTTCTACGCTGCCTTGGATCAAACCTACCCCATGCTTTTTCTCCTGTCTCTTCCAATCTCTGCGAAACAGTTTTCTCCCCTTTTAATTCTCAACCTTTCATACTATGAAGATGTTTACTGTTTGCCTTCTTTGAACCTTCACTTTCAGCATGGACTTCTTTCCCTGATTTCCACACACACATATTGCACTTCCTGGGCACATCAGTATAACATGCCCAGAGGGGAACAATATCTGTTTTCTGTCTACACTAAAGTCACTAGTCTGTTCTGAATCTGTCATTCATCCTCACTTCCTACCTGATCTCCATCACACTCCAGAGTTCCTCTCCTCTCCTCTGTCTATGAGGCTATTTAGGGAATTCCCTTTGTGATCCTGGTCCCTTCCTAAATTCCTTCCCTATATCTTTCTCTTGTGTCTCATTCTTTAACTTTGACAAGGTCCAATTCCTTGGCATGGCTAACA